TAACGAATAATTACTGATAAGCATGAACAGAAAATATTGTTAACAAATAATTGGTAAGGAAAGGAACAATTTTTGTTATAAAATTCAAAAATGGTGATAAGAGGAAAAGTTGCAATAAAGTGAAATATTGAACAAAATTCACAATTTGAATTCTTGACAAAATGAAAAAGAAAAGGAAAACTGTAATAATTGGAAGGAAAAGAAGAATTGGTCCAGAAAAAGACAGAGAGAGAGAGAGAGAGAAAAAAAAAGAAATATCCGGAAAACGCAATAATGGCACATATTTTCAATGGATTATCAAAATGATAAGAATGGCAATTGTAACGGTAAGAAATAGTTCGCAAAAAAAAACATTTTAGTATGAAGAAATTTGCAAAATATATCCTAATGAAAAGCAAATTTTAAAAGATACCCGCTATGGGAAAAGTAAAAAAGAAAAAAAAAAAAAAGGAATTTCTAAAAATTTCAATCTTCTATTTATATTGATTGAAAATTCAAATAAATTTTGGAAAGACATTTGGAAGGAAATTAAACAGTAAAAAAAGAAAAACCCCAACCATTTTTCAACCTATATAGTTTTATCATATTACAAAATATACGGGTAAAAATATAGGGAATTTAAAAAAAAAAAAGAAAAAAGGAAAAAAAAAAGCTAAATATGAAAAAGAAGAAAATAATGGAACAAATGACGAAAGATAGGAAAATAAACAAATGAAAGCAACAATATTTCAAAAATAAAAAATAAATTAAAATTCCGAACTTGAAATTCAATTAGGATTAAATTAAATTGAAACAAACTAACTGATAAACAACTCTGTCTTCCCAAAATGGGATTATTTTAATAATGGTAATAAAAAGAAAAAAAAAAACATATGTTCCTCTCGTTCTTTTCTTTGCTTCTCTATCAATTTTTTTTTTTTCCTTATCCACAAAATTTTCAAATTTCGCTCTCTTCTTCCTGCTCATTGTCAAGCTTAATTGTTGGCTTATCAGCGCTCAACCGTAGCAAGAAATCATTGCTGCTTAATGCGCTTGTTATGTCCGTACCCTTCAATTAGATGCTTCTTAAAAAAAAAAACTTTTTTCAGGATCAATATAACAATAAAAGAAAATGAAATTATATTATGCAAGAAATTTTTTAATGTGAAATTGCAAATTTTGTACAATTTATAATCCGTAAGCAATTTAATCTCGTTATAATAACAATTTTAAATTTGCAAAAGTAATAATCATTAAAGCTTACTAATAACTACATAATGATATAAATTATTGCAAGAATCCATTTCTTTTCTCAATTATCTATGCAAAATTCTTCAAGTATTTAAATAAAAACGTTAATTTATAGCGAATTGCCTTGCCATTATTACTATTACTGTTACTACTGCTATTACTATTACCATTGCTACTATTACTATTATTACCACTATTTTTATCATTATTACTTTTATTATTATTACTATCATTATCATTATTGTTACTGTTATTATTATTACTTTTATTACTGTTATTATCATTATTATTATTCTTATCATTATTATCATTACCATTATTATTGTTATTATAAAGTAGTAGTAGTAATATTAAAAGGCATATGCACAACTTTACAGTAATCAAATTCCGTTACGGATGAAATTTGGAATATAAACCAGCGATCGATTAAATTGTTAAAAATATTTGGATAACAATAACATGAATATCTATATAATATTAAAATTAAAATTTTCTAACAATTAATTTAATTATGCTAACTAACTATAAAAAAGGGAGAAATGTATGTAAGTTAGAAGGAAAGAATAATACTTACCAGAGCATTAGCAATATGTGTTTTCTTATGGCGCAATAAATTATCTTTTCTATTGAACCTAAAGTAAACAAATAAGTACCTAATTTACGTTTCAATAAATTTATTTGATAGAAATGAGCAATATTATTATAAAATAGATATTAAAATCATTTTACTAAATATATTGATCTTATAAAAGTATTTATTACTTTTACAGGAATGTCACTTCACGTTTTATTTATTCCTAAATATGTTGGAAAAAAAAAATCTCACATGTATAACAACACCGGTGTATTAAAAAATTAGGATGATATTTTAAGTGTCCCAGA